CTTCAACCAGAACTGGGCATGGTGTGATTACAGGTGTGGTTTGGCCAAGGCAGGACAGCATGCCGCATGGGGAGCATTTCCCTGCACCTAGGCACTCGGCTCCCCTTGATGCAGGCCGTACAGAAATGCGGTCAAGAAGCCCTTGACCCCCATGTGGGCCTTCCTGGATTTTGCTGCATTCTTGCTCCTGGTTGCCATGCGATGTGTGCCAAGTGCTGGCCTGCCTTTCTCTAAAAGCTGCCAGCCACTGACCCCGTGAACCCTCTTGCCCTGCAGGGCCCAGGCCTCTCCCATCAGCAGGCGCCCCTGGAACGCCCCGGAAGAAGGGGACCCCTCGCTCGGTGTCGCTCCCGCCCCCGCTCACCTTCAGCGACAGTGATGACGACCAGGTCTTTGTGGATTTCACGCCGAGGAGTCCCCGCCAGGCCCAGCAGTCGGGCGTCCAGCAGGGTGGTTGGAGGAGAGGGCGGCCTGCCTCCTCGCTGGGGGGTCGTGCCCCTCGCAAGGAGAGTCCCGCCTCTTCCTCGAATGAGGAAGAGGAGAAGGAGGAGGAGAGGTGGGGGGGCTCCGGGAGGGGGAGCGGGGCACCCGGCGCAACAGCCCACCGATGGCGGCCAGCAATGAGTGCTGGGTCGGGATCCGGGAGCTCCGACGAGGAGATCGGCAGCCTGGCCACACGCATCAAGCAACGGATGCTCCTCTCTTCCGAAAAGAGTGGCCCTGGCACCCCCAGTAAGCGAGAGGCCCCCGTTCACCATGAATGCCCAGGGCCTAGAGGGAGGGGGGGAGAGAGAGACTTGGCAGGTGGAGGGAGGACGTGTGTGCGCGTGCGCTGCTCCTGGTGCTGCCACCCACTGCCGTGGAATCCCTGGCGCCACATCAGAGGCCCGGCTGTGCTGCCTCTTCTTGCCGAGCCCTTCAGCCAGGATGGCCGGGTTGTGGGCCTGATCCTGCCTGCGCCTCTCTGGGGAGATGTTTGTTGCCTTGGGTGAAATGGAGCAAGAGAGCTTCTCTTGGTGGGGAAACATGGCCATTATTGTCACTGTTCTGGCAGTTTTGAAGGGGAGAGCTGCTCCTACGTTGGGAAGAGGCGGGTGATGCCTCTCAGTTTGCCTTGGGAAGAGGAGTGAGTGCTCGCGAGGGGCGGGAGGGGGCAGGATTTTAGCCCTTTTGCATAGTGGGGGCAGTAGCTGGAGGGAATGCAGGGGGCTGAATTGCCCAGGTGGTTCTGTTCTGACACGGAGCTGAGTTCTGCTCACCTGAGCGCTTGCCTGGGTGTGTTCCTGGCAGGAGAGCGTCCTTCCTCCGGAAAGCCCTGCCCAGCAGCCAAGAGGGAGGGGCCCCGGCCATCAACGCCCCCGGCTGGGCCTCCCCAGGGCAAGGTGCTTGCCGACGTCACCCAGCTGCACAGGACGCCCTCTGCCAGGTCAGCCTTCCGGCCCCCTTCCCTTTCCCTCCCAGAGGAGCCGCGTTTCGGGGGCTCCCCAGCTGGCCTTCCCCCCAAGGATGAGACTGAGTGCCTGGCTTCCCCTCTCTCACTTGCCTCAGCCACAGCCCAGAGGTGGGGGGGGGGGGGCACTTAGCCCACGGTCACTTGGCTAATTTGGAGCAGAAGTTCAGCCCATGGCCTCCTGCCTGAGCCGTTTCCCAGGTGAGATGCCCCCCACCCTCCCCCCGCCCAGGCTCTCCTCTGGTTCATGGGCAGGGAGGGGTCCCAGCTGCTTGCTTCCGAGAGGCACAAAGGCGTGGAAGCCGTGGCCTCTCTTCCGAAGGGCTTTTGAGCCGTGTCTGAGCCGTTCTGGCCTAAAAGGGTCCAAGTGGGGTGGGGGTGGCGGGGGGCATAGTCAGTGCCTGCAGAAGAGGTGTGTATGTGGGGGGGGGGGGGGATCCCTGGGTCTCTGGGTGGGGCTGAGGCTTTTAAACTTTCTCATAAAGGGCCTGTGAGGTGCTGGTGGCATGAAGTTCCACTGAGACCAAAAAGGGGCCACAAAGACCCCCAGAGACCGCCTAGCCTGAGTGGATGAATGGAGGTGGGAATGGCCAGTGAGAACCAGGTGGGCCAGTCTCAAGGTCGCCCAAGTGGGGGGGGGGGAGCTCGATGAACATGCCAGCATTGTCTGTAGCCTCCAACCATTCGTCCTCTGTGCATGAGGCAGGGCACAGTGGACAAGCATACAGGTGCAGAGTTGTCTGTTTGCTCCACAGTCACACTAGGTAGAGGATTCTTCTAGATAGTGCCATTTTGCCAGGGATTTCCAAGTGGGTTTGCCCCACCCACCCTTTGGGCCTTTCTCTTTGCAGGGGGGGCTCCTGCCGGGTGCAGGGCTGCTTCTTGCAGGCGCTGTCAGACCCCGAGTCCCAGCAGTCCAAGCGCTTCCGGAGCCAGAAGGAGGAGCTGGCGCTGAGCCTCTATGCCTTCTACAACACTTCTGTCTTTGAGCAAAAGGTCGGTTGAGCGGCCTGGGGGTGGGGGTGGGGGTGGGGGTGGGGGGCTTCTGCGGCTTCTGCTTCCGGGCGGCCCAAGGGCATCCTAGCCAGGCTTTTTCTGCTTGCCCTCAGCCCTTCCCTGGCCCAATGAGGAAGGAGGGGTGCCCTTCCCCAAAGGACTCGTGCGACCCGACCTGGTGGGCCTTGGGAAATGCCACGCGCACACCCCTCTCCTCCGTGTGGCATTGGGGGGGGAGGGGGAGTTCTCTGGGGAACGTCCTTTGCCACATCTGAGTGGACAGCAGCGCCTGCTCGGCGGCTGGGGTGACCTGCCGCTGTCTTCTTGGGAGAAGCGTGGTCTCTGCCCGGTGTCCAGCTGACGGAGCCATGAGCAGAACTGGTTGGAAGTCTCCACTTGCGTGGCCGAGTTCCCCGTGGTCCCTCCCCTCTGTCCTGTGGCCGTGGAATTGGGTGAAGGCTGTGGTGGGGTCCTCACCGCCTCCTTGCTTTAGCCTGCCTCTGTTTGGCCTGGAATCAACCTCGGCTCCCGGTTCCACAACTCTGTGCCTGTTCTCTCAGTTGCCGGCGAGTATGGAGATCCTCTGGAACAAGAAGATGCGGAAGACGGCCGGGTGCTGCGTCACGGGCAAGCGGAAGGGGCCCCCGGAGCAGCGCTATGCGCGGATCATGCTCTCCGAGAAAGTCTGTGACTCTGCAGGTAATGGGGGGGGGGCACAGTTTCCACGCCACAGTTGTTTTGCATTCTGCCCACTCTGGCCCGTCCGTGTCCTTTGGGACCCTGGCACTCTCCTCCAGAGTAATAGCGGTCCTTTAATTGGCCTCAGGACAAAACGGTGGGTGGCACCGGGCAGCAGAAGGGCCACCCTGCCCAGGAGCCCAGCCGGGTGGCCCTCCTTCCGGGCAGCCGAGTCCCGGGGCTCCTGCCTGATGCCTCTCCTGCTTCTCCCTGGACTAGACCGCCTGAGGGACACGTTGATCCACGAAATCTGCCACGCAGCCACGTGGCTCATCCACGGCGTTCGGGACGGACACGGCCGGTTCTGGAGCCTGTATGCCAAGAAGGCGGCCATGATCCACCCGGAGCTCCCTGTGGTGGAGCGGTGCCACAACTACGAGATCAACTACAAGTTCACCTACAAATGCTCTCGGTGTGGGAACACGTAAGTGGGGGGAGGGAAGGGAGACTCCCCTGACTTGGGATTGGGTCTGCGGTGGGAGACCCCCCCCCCTTCCTCCTTGTCCTGTCAAAAACCCACCCACCCAAGATCACCCTGGGCATTTGAACCAGGAAGGGTTGCAGCATTCAGAGAAGGGCAGAAAGAGGAGCGTGGGAGGGAAAAGAGCTTCTCTCTTGGAGCACGGCTGCATTTTGCTCCAACCCCTTCCCCCCCCCCCCCAATTTCCCTGCCTCTTAACTTCTGTTAAGAGTATGAATCTTGCTTAAATGTGTAGCACAGACACACCCAGAGTGCGGCGCCTCCCCGGTCTTCTTGTTCTGCTCTATGGGGTGAATAATTTGGTCAAGGCCACAGCTTCTCCCCTTCTCTGGAGCCAAGACCCAAATCCAACAGTTTGTCCCATTGAGACCCACAAAATAGGAGAATACATCCCAGCCTTGACTTCACAGGGTCCCAGCTGAACGGCATGGGCAACTGCACCGAGGACTAGGCCTCCTGGTGAACCTCTTCCCCTCTGTTCGTAGCCCCTGACCCTGAACAGGAGGATGTGGGCAGCACAGAAGAGCCCTCACTGGCCATCGGCCCTTGGTGCTCGGCCCTGGTCTCCGAAAAACAGCCTCCGAGTCACACGAGTCACCCCGGAGTCCAAAGGGCTTTCTTAGGCAAGGAACCCCCGGAGGTGGTTTTCCCAGTTCCTTCCTCCCGGGATGCGCTGGGGGTGGCTCTGCATTTGGGGAAGGGTTTCCTTTTTGGAGTACTGCTCCCAGAATCCCCCAGGCAGCCCACAAGGCCACCTTTTCCCAGCGCTTTGGAGTTCTGGCCTGCAGTATTTAGACAAAAGGGACCAAGATCAGATTGCACGCATGTGCACGCCTTCAAGTCTCCCGTAGACTTTTGGCAACCCTATCAATTCTATATAGTTTTCTTACACAAGGATCCCTCAGTTCCTTCCTCTGAAACAGAGCCTTCAGCGCCTGGGATTCAGTGGGAATCTCCCGTTCGAGACCTAGCTTGGCCTCCAAGATCAGGCGGGATCTGGTGCCTTTAGGACAGTTTTGAGCCTGTTTTAATATGGGTTTGCTTTGCTTGGCCTGTTGCTGGTTGTGAGATTGTTTTCCTCAGAAATCCCTGGAAAGATGGCCCACGAGTCCCTGGGTTTTGTGGCCTTTCCCCTTCCTCTCTCTCCCTTAAAGGCCTGTCCTTTAACCCCTGAGACTCCTTCCATTCCTGGAGTGTTATAATATAAGCTACTCAACATAAGAAGATACAACATTAATATTATTCTAAGGAGACTACCAAAATTTGCATAATATTGTTTGACATCACTGTGAAATTGAACAGTACAACATGTCTATATAACTGCTTGCTGAATTCTATTGTTTACTTTATGTATAAGTGGTATTTTTGTTGCATAGTCTTGGAGTGTTCCCATTCCTGTCCGAAGGCCGTGGGCCACCCGGTTTGGCCTTGGGAGCGCCGGGAGTGCGGCTCCTCCTTGTGGCGCCTCTGAGGAGGGAGGCGGAGGCAAGCTGCCCTTCCTCCTCCTCCTCCTCCTCCTCCTCCTCCTCCGTGACCAGGCCCCTCTCGTGTGCTTGGCTTCCAGGATCGGGCGCCACTCCAAGTCCTTGGACACGCAGCGCTTTGCCTGCGCCCTGTGCCGGGGCCCGCTGGTGCTGTGCCAGCCCACCAGGAAAGACGGCACGCCGGCCGGCAGGGCGCTGACTCCTTTTGCAAAGTTCGTGAAGGAGAACTACAGCTCGGCAAAGCACTCACAGCAAGGCCTCAGCCACGGAGCCGTCATGAAGAAGCTCAGCGCAGACTTTGCCTCCTCCCGGGAGCGTGTGCTCAGCCCTTGATGGAGGGAGGGAGGGAGGGAGGGGCCAGGCCGCAGGGAACCGATGGCTGCTGGCGCCCCTCTCCCTCCCCAGCCCAGCCCGGAGGCAACAGTCCCCCCCCCCCTTGACCCACACATGTTTTTAATATAGCTCAGAGCATTGAATTGCTGGATCAGTTGCAAATAAAGTAGAGGAAAGGCTCTTGTGTGTTGGGACCTAGTTATTACTGTTATTGTTATATTTATTTATACCCCGCTCTATCTCCCCACAGGGAACTCAAAGCGGCTTGACATAAAAGCATCGGTACCCCATTTCAAATATACAAACATTAAAACAGAATTAAACACAAACAGCACTAAAAATCACATTTAAAACCACCACGCATTCCAAGGAGAGAGCCACGGCGCTCCCTGGCCGGATCTTGGACACCTTTGCCTTCGAATGCTTGTTTGAATAAGCTGAGGTGTCCCTTTGGGAGGCGAACCCAGAACCTCGAGTGTCCTTTGCAGTCGGGCACGAAGAGGCCCGGAGGAGGAGGAAACACGAGCGTTATTTGCAAGTACGCCCGTGGGTCGGCTGAGGAAAGAAGAGCCACGCGGAGATCACAACGCAGGGGGTTTGTAATCAAAAGATGTTGAGCATGTGTGCGCGCACTCTTTCCTGCCACATTCCTCTTTTCCTTGGTTCTTCTGCTGGGACCTTCTTATCAGCTATTTAAGACAACAATTCAGAAACAAGTGTTTCCTAATTTCCTGCTTGCAGGTCATCCATGTCATTGAGTTCTGTCTGAACGTCTTTCCTTAGAATCATAGAATCAAAGAGTTGGAAGAGACCTCATGGGCCATCCAGTCCAACCCCATTCTGCCAAGAAGCAGGAATATTGCATTCAAATCACCCCTGACAGATGGCCATCCAGCCTCTGCTTAAAAGCTTCCAAAGAAGGAGCCTCCACCACACTCCCTTCGGGGCAGAGAGTTCCACTGCTGAACGGCTCTCACAGTCAGGAAGTTCTTCCTCATGTTCAGATGGAATCTCCTCTCTTGTAGTTTGAAGCCATTGTTCCGCGTCCTAGTCTCCAATGAAGCAGAAAACAAGCTTGCTCCCTCCTCCTCCCTGTGGCTTCCTCTCACATATTTATACATGGCTATCATATCTCCTCTCAGCCTTCTCTTCTTCAGGCTAAACATGCCCAGCTCCTTAAGCCGCTCCTCATAGGGCTTGTTCTCCAGACCCTTGATCATTTTAGTCGCCCTCCTCTGGACACATTCCAGCTTAGAGTCAATATCTCTCTTGAATTGTGGTGCCCAGAATTGGACACAATATTCCAGATGTGGTCTAACCAAAGCAGAATAGAGGGTAAGCTTTTTTGGTTAGAAAGTTGGTGTCGCCCCCCCCCCCCCCCCGCCTTCACCCCTCATTGTCGGCCTTCTCGCTGGCTCGGCACTCTTCAGCTCTCTCTTTGGTCTCCCTTGAATTCGCTCACATGGTTGAAAAAAGAATAGGCACATTTCTTGACCAGGCCCTGGAGGTCCCCAAAGTGTGCTGAGTGTTGTGCTTTGCCCCCTTCTTTGGCCCCACACATGGCCGGGTTCCCGGCGGGAGTTCTGGGGCCGAGGGCTGCTCGCTTTCCACACGAGGAGGGGCCGCTCCGCAGGGCTAGAAGGGAAGTCCAGAGAAGCCCCCGGAAGGGTGGCCCTGGGCCTTGGTCCACACCGCCAGGACACCTTGCCCTTCTGATCATTTTTATAAACATCCTTATTTGTAGCAATAAAGACAATCTGTTCCTGGTTGGAAAGTGTGATTTCCTGTTTAAAGGTGCCCAAAGTTCGTTAAATTGTCCCCATACTGTGTCCCCCCCCCCCCCCCCCCCCCCCCCCCCCCCGCACACTGTTTGAAGGCCTGTCTCCCCGACTCCCTTTCCAATGAGTTTCTCCCTCACCAATATTTCAGTTTCATTTCTCTCATCCCTGAGTTCTTATTATTTTATCCTGTACATGTGGCCCGCTCGTTGTGATTGTGATTTACCTCTCGTTGTATTTTTGCACTGTTTTATTGTATTCTTAAGTTTATTTATTTTATTGTGATGTTTCTTCTGTTTTTGGTTTTATTCTGTTGTAATGCACTCCTGGGCTTGGCCTCAGGTAAGCCACCCCGAGTCCCCTTTGCAGAGATGGTGGCGGGGTATAAACAAAGATTATTATTATTATTATTATTATTATTATTATTATTATTTATTATTAACTTTATTTGTACCCCGCTAGCATCTCCCGAAGGACTCGATGCGGCTTACACAGGCCGAAGCCTCAAAACACAATACAATAGAAAACATAACACAACAATAAACAAAGCAAATCAACAATTAAGCAAAATAACAACAATGACAATACATCAATACATCAAGACACTATTAAAACTGGTTCGGCCGGCGCAATGGGGTACAGGGTAAAAGTGCTGAGATGGCAGGAGGAACGTAGGATTAAAAGTGCGGTGTGCAGCAACATTGGTTGTGCTAAAGTGCTTCTAGGACTTAGGATGGGGATTCCTAATCTGCGAAGGCACATCGGAACAGCCAAGTTTTTAGGTTCCTTCTGAAAACTGCTAGAGTAGGGGCCTGACGAAGCTCTTTTGGAAGGGCATTCCAAAGTCGGGGGGCCGCCTCAGAGAAAGCCCTGTCCCGTGTCCCCACCAAGCGCGCTTGCGACGTAGGTGGGATCACGAGCAGGGCCTCCCCAGATGACCGGAGCGAGCGTGTGGGTTCGTAGATGGAGATGCGGTCACGCAGGTAGGCTGGTCCCAAACCGTTCAGGGCTTTGTAGGTGAGCACCTATTATTATTATTATTCTGACACAAAGGCACAGTATGTCACAGCAAACAAGATATATATGCCGGATTTCATTAAATTAATGGAGACTCAACAAGATACTATAGTAAATGTGCTACGGCACGATGTCCCTCCCACAAAGGCAAAGTGGTCTGCTTAATAAACGTTCCCCACGTTTCTATGAGGGAACCAATTAGGAACTGACATTTATAACCAGGAGTCCCCGGTGGAGTGAGCCAAGCCCTTGCGCCGGCAGGGTCGTGAGAGGGCACATCCGGGCAATGCCCTCTGGGCGGGACCTTTTGAATTCTCTGGCATGGAGCTCTTCCCTTCCCAAACTATATTTCCCAGAGTTCTGTGCAGTTCTCAGAAAACACTGCTCCCTCCTTTCCTGCTTCTAATGGTGATTCACAGAGGAACGAGAGCTTTTTTCTGCTTCGCATGCTTGCTTGCCATGAAAATGAAAATCACGGTGACTTTGGGAGGCAACCTTCCAAGATTTACAAAACAAAAGAGAAATTATGGGGCAAGCTTCGATTCTAAAAGATTTGGTGTGGGTCATGCAAACACATTGGATATGACTTCTGACTTATAAACTTCCAATTTCCTTCCAAATTCTGAGACTTTAGGATTTTCTGCACGTGTCTAGTATCCGTTCCAGAAAGGTTCATAAAGCAGCCAGCCTTTGACACTTGGAATCTAGTGTTGGGATGGCCCACATTTGTGCTTGTTGTGCTGTGCTGTATTCACCGGGACTGTATTTCAGCGAGTGTCCCTACACGCCTCCCATGTCAGATTGGATTGCAACGGCCCTTCAGCATCCCACAAAGAAACTGCCCCAAGCGCTCCCTTCCCTTTCAGCATTTCTTTTTATTATTATTATTATTATTATTAAACTTTATTTGTACCCCGCTAGCATCTCCCGAAGGACTCGATGCGGCTTACAAAGGCCAAGGCCTCAATACACAACATAACAATACACTTAAAGCAAATTAAAAACAATTAAAGCAGTATTAAAACAACAAAACCACAATCAATAAACAATACATCAACAAGATAAAACTGGGCCGGGTACAGGGTACAGGATTAAAAAGTGCTGATGTGACAGGTGATATTATAGGGCAAGTGCAGTGTGCAGTGTGCGGCAATCTTAATTCTAATAAAGTGCTTCTGGGACTTGATATTGGAGATTTCCTAATCGGGAAAGGCACATCGGAACAGCCAGGTCTTCAAGTTCTTTCTGAAGACTGCCAATGTGGGGGCCTGTCTAAGATCTTTGGGGAGAGTGTTCCAGAGACGGGGGGCCACCACGGAAAAGGCCCTGTCTCGTGTCCCCACCAAACGTGCTTGCGACGCAGGCGGGATCACGAGCAGGGCCTCTCCAGATGACGTAGTGAGCGCGTGGGTTCGTAGATGGAGATGCGATCACGCAGGTAGGATGGTCCCAAACCGTTCAGGGCTTTGTAGGTAAGCACCTGCACCTTAAATTGGGCTCGGAATATAAACGGCAGCCAGTGGAGCTCCTTGAACAGGAGGGTTGACCTCTCTCTCTAGGGAGCACCAGTTAACATCCTGGCCGCTGCTCGTTGGACAAGTTGGAATTTCCGAGCCGTTTTCAAGGGCAGCCCCACGTAGAGCGCATTACAGTAATCCAACCTAGAGGTGACCAAGGCATGGACCACCCCGGCCAGATCAGCCTTTGCAAGGTACGGTCGCAGTTGGCGCACGAGTCTTAATTGTGCAAAAGCCCTCCCAGACACCGCCGACGCCTGAGCCTCAAGCGTAAGCGATGAGTCCAGGAGGACTCCCAGACTGCGGACCTGTGGCTTCAGGGGGAGTGTAACCCCGTCCAACACAGGTTTCTCACCCAATATTTCTCTTGGTTTACAGAAATCAGTTTCCTTGAAGCCCGGAGCATGTCTCCGGCCATGTTGGGTCTCCCCTAATCATGGCCATGTCTTCTCTCTCTTTGTTAGGACCTCATTCAAAACAGCAGATCTCCTTCTTCTTCTTCCACCTTTGAATAATCAAATTGTCTATAAGTGAGGAACTCGCTGGATCTTACCTGTTTGCCAGACGGTGATATCCAGTGTATGCCAGGGTTCAGTTTCACATTCCTGCTATATTCATTTTTATTATTTAGTCATTTCTTTTAGGAAGGTGTCACTGAAATTACCAGTATGGTTGAGGGCTGATAGCAGATGTCCGCAGTGAGATCCCCTGTAGTAGTTGTTACCCAAAGGCCCTTGGCCTGCTCCCCATGCTTCCGCTGTTGGGTCTCCTCACAGTGCAACACCTAGATCCATAGAGTTGGAAGAGACCAGAATGAGGCTGGACTGGATGGCACTAGGGGAAGGGACACCTCCTCCAACTCCTTGTTTCTGAGCATTCTGCCAATCTGGATGGAGCTGGAAGACCTGGGACAGAACGGTGTCCAGAAGGTGTCCTTGTCATGAGTGGGTTGAATGAAATTGTATGATTAGGATCTGGCTAAGAGTCTGTTAAGGCTTGCCAAGGCCGAAGACACCACCTTATTGAAGATGCACCTGGCTGAAACAGAATTTTTAATAATTGCTAGAAGAACAATTTCTGTATAAAATTCTCATTTTGAAATGTTGGTTCAGCAAGACAGCAGAGATGGGAGGGGGGTTGGTAAGAGTAAGGAATGCTGGAATGGGAGGCGCTAGGCTTCCTCAGTAATGGGACACTCTGACCCTCAAAGCTCCAGGCATTTATGGAGTTTCAGCAAGTCTCAGCTGAATGACAGGTTGTAAAAACAACCCAGAACAACAATAGCAACAATTTCTACACAAGGAGATCCTTCTCTTTAGGAAAAGTGTGTCAGATATGTGAGGAATGCAGAGTCTGGGCACCCGCCTCCTTCCAAGGTGGCCTGAATTAAGAAGGTGGTGAGTATGCTGCGCCTTTGGTGAGTAGGTACTGTTGCGGAATATACGTTACCTGAGATCATTAGAGTGCTTTTGGAAAAGGAAGAAGATGGAGAGACAGCATGTCTGATTTCCACGCGTTTATTTCTATCTCCGCAGAGCATAGGGTGAACAGCTCAAATGACTGTCACAACTGAGGTCTGAATCGCCTCGGTCTTTTATAGCAGAATAACACCCTTTCCACACATGCCCAGAAAGAGTCTGACATTTACACAATACAATCATTAACAAGTGTTTCCATGCATAGTTGCCAAGGACATCTTTATCAGGTCTTGGCAGCCACATTGTGACCCCAAACATCTGCTTGATTATGTAACTTATCCCAACTTTTACCCATTACCCTAAGATGACACGTATATGTTCAATTCCTTAAATCTCTAATTGAATTGTAACTTTTATATGCTTATAACATAAGATTGGATCAAGGCAATCTCCTCTAGTCAATCCAGCCTTAATTAGTTCATTATAACTTATTTCTTAATATGAAGGCCATGAAGGAATTTACTTAGAATGAAACTCTCCTAAAATTGCCTGCTATTTACATTAAGTGGTCAGAGGATGGCGCTCTCTCACCATATGACCTTAGATGTTCCAAGTCTTGGATCGATACTATTGATTTCCTTGTCCTGCCAAACTTCTCTTGTTGACTTTGTATCTATGTAAACATTGGCTAGAGCAAATATCGGCTAGAGCACACTGACCCAAAGTCCAATGTCAATCAATATTATCTGTAGGTTTTTCATGCTTGCAAATTAACTCATTAGAAATGGTCTTTTCAGGATCGGGTAGGAACATGAATCTTCTATTTTATTCTAAATTATTATGATTTCCCTTTATTATTTTATTTTCTCCTAACGGCTGCCACAGTACACAACATGTCACTACTGCTCCCCTCAACACTTCTGTCGCTGGAATACATGTACCCCCTCGTGGGAAAGTTTGGTTTCACAACCCTGTTCCTATGAGCTCCCTCTTGCAAATAACCTGCTTCTTTTTTTATCTCACCCAAGTTTTTTAACATTTTATCCTGCACATGTGGCCCACCCACTGTCATTGTGATTGTGTTTATTGTAATTTTATTACTAATGTACTCATATGTTTTTATGTAATTATGAGGTTGTTGCTTGTTGCTTATGTTTTGGTTTTATTTTGCTGTAATATATTGTTTGGGCTTGGCCTCACGTAAGCTGCCTTGAGTCCCCGTTGAGGGAGATGGTGGTGGGGTATAAATAAAGATGATGATGATGATTATTATTATTATTATTATACAAGTTGAATGAATGTATGTGGAGTGATTGCTGAATATATGTTTCCCCTTTTTCTGTGTAACCAATATTGCTATTATAACCCTAGTACTGGGGTCTATGTGCCTTCTTTTTCTGAAAGTGCCTGATGCAATCTGTCCCGTTGAAAAAGGATTAAAGAATTTATTATTTATTTATTTATTTACAGTATTTCTATCCCACCTTTCTCAGCCCAAAGGCGACTTAAGGCAGCTTACAATTGGCAGCAATTTGATGCCACAACATTAATCAATACTATTCAAAACCTTTAACAAGAACATTTTTAAGGTTCAGTATTCATGACATCCTTTATTTTGTTTTCCCGCACGTCTTCCCACCCTCCTCAGTGTGGATGGTAACAAACCCAGCATGCTTTGGGTGCGCAGCCACTGGCAGCTGGGGCAGGGGTCCTGGTGACTGGATTGGCTTTGGAGAGCCCCCCTTGCCCGGCCATCTGGGGCCCTGGGCCTGTCTTGGGTCTGCTAATGACTGCGCAGCTTTCACCTCTGCCTCCTCTGGGGCTGGTCACTCCTGCTCCTCTTCCTCCTCCTCAGCCGAGGGGCTCCTGCTGGGCTGCACTGACTGCCCGCCTGGGGTCTTTGACCCCCTTCCCACAAGGAGGAGGCTCTCTGTGGCCGTCTGGGGGCTTGCGGGGGCCACTGTTGCTGCTGCTGCTGGCTCCTTGTTGACTGGAGGGAGAGCAGCCCCATTCTTGCCCAACCAGCCACAGGCCCCTTGTCTTTGCTGTGTTAGCCAGCGGCGCTTGTCCGCTAGGCCATGGCTGTACCGCAGCTCTCGAAGCAGCTGCTCCTTCTGCTCTCTGAGCTGGCGGACGATGCCGTCCAGGCCTTGGGCCCGTTTGATGAGGCTCAGCAGTTCCTCACGCAGTTGCATGTTTTCGGCTTTGATCTGCTTGGTGTGCTGGATGAGGCTGCGCACGGCTTCCTTCTCGGCCCGCTTGGCCAGCGCCTGCACCTTCTGCTTGCACTCGATTTCGTACTCCGCCTTCTGCTGCGCGTACCGGGTCCTGATGAAGCGCATCTTCTCCGAGTGGTGGATCTTCATGGCCCGCAGCTCCCTCTCCAGCTCCCGGATGCGGGCCAGCTGCTCCGCCTGCAGTTCCTTGAAGGGCTTCAGCTCCTCGACCTCCTTGTTCATGAGGGAGTACTTGGTCTCCATCTCAATGAGCTGGCTCCGCACTTCCTTCTCCTTGTCTGTGTACTGCGAGGTCAGCTCTTCCTTCTGCTTCAGGACTTGCAGGAGTTCGGAGCGGTTCTGGTCGTTCAGTGTAATGATGGCGTCCTGGCACCGGAGCATGCGCTTGGTCAGGTAGGAGAGGTAGGTTTTGTTGTTCTCCCGGATCTCCTGGGCTTCCTTGTCCAGGCCCTCATTCATCCCCTGGAAGTCCTTCATGCGCTGTGTGTACAGGTTGATGTGCTCCGACAGGGTGGCGCATTCCTGGTGCAGGTACTTCTCCCGCCCGGTGACAAAGGGCTCGCTCAAGCCTTCCTGCATTTGGGGCGCACCTCTCCTGCTCCTGGGCCCCCTTGGAGCCATCTTTCAATAGGGTGGTCCTCTTGGACCCTGGCAAAAGAGAAAGAGGGTGAGACGATGCCACAGCAGGCCGCAGAGGAAAAGGCCGGGAGGCCAGTGTTGCACTCCAGAACAGGAAATAACCCATCTGACTGTAAACACACCACACGTTGAGTGAAGGAACAATCCTTTTTATTAAAGCTTAGCAAAAAAAGGCCAGTAGAAATAGATGCTTGTAAAGATATATATAAGGTTCCAAAAAGCAATAAGGCATTCAAAGGCAGCCAGATGAAACAGTGTCTAAACGTAGCCACCAAAAACAATATCCAAAAAAACATGAACATGTGATCCAAGGCAATGATATTCAAACAGGAATCAAACCAGAAGCAAAAACAGACCAGACGCTGCTAGTCACCTCGAAAAGGCTAGAAAAAATCCATGAAGACGAGACCACTTGAACAGGGATTCCATGAGGCTATACTTGGTTTCCAAACGATGCCTGATCTGACAAGATTTTCTACAGACAAACCTTAAATCCCAAAAACTGGTTTTGTTTTCCACCAGTCTTTGACTTTAGTTGACAAATTATTTCGGGTCCGCGTAAACATTGGGCCTCTTGTCGAATTCTGGCTAATCTCCAGCTGCTGACTCTGCTTATCTGACTCCTCATTAACTTTAGCAGGTGTCAGACTGTTTTCCAAACTAGAATCTGGAAAGCTCACAGATGGGGAGAATAACAACCTTTCTCCCCAGGTCTGACAGAAGCATTCTCATGGGAATCTGCCCTTTGCAGCGAAGCCTCTCTGTCAGTGTCTGCATGAAACTCATTGACCAAGTGTCTCCATCTTGCACCTCAGAGTCAATCCCAGCATCCCCCACATCAGACTCAACAGGGGACTGATTTCCCTCCTCATTACCCACATCAGACACAGAAACATCAGGAGACTGAAACACAAGCACAGGCTCAGGTTCATCAATCACAGGCTGAGTCCCAACACCCAGAGACTAGGCTGCTGTCAGGTGAGGCAGAGGATGTGGGGACCGCCTTACCCCCGCTGTGGGCCCATCCCTGGCAGACGCCTCTGGGAACATGTCTTCTCATACAGGCTGGAAAGGGAGCGGTGGCACAGGCGCAGTAGCCCCCATCCACAGGTCACTCTCCCGTTCATCTCACAAGTGGCCGTAACATCAAAAACTTTGGTACTTAAGCTGACCGCTAACATAAGAAGAGAATGTTGATGCCCAATGCCCAAATATTTCTAGTCTCTTTTCCTAATCGGAGACTGGAAACGAGGAGATTAAAATGCAATTGTTTAATTTTGCAGAAAAAGCACAAAGGGTCAAGTCAAGAACGCCTCAGGATGGGGCCACATCTGACTGTTCCTGCGTCATGGGTTTTGCAGTCTAGATTGGTGCAAACTTCCTTTTCTCTCTTTCCTTTCTGTATTTTTCCCTCTCAGATTTATCCTTCAGCACTTCTGTGTCTTTCTATTCTTTTTGATCGTTAAACAATCCTGTTTTGGAAATATTTTCTGCACAACATTTTCCTCCTCCTCCTCCCATCTCTGTCAGGTCAATTTGATCTCCTCTTGACACACAATTGGCCTGTTTGTATACCCAATGTGGCTACAGTCTAATACTCTTGCCTCAATATGAATGAAATAAGAGAACCCTTTTAATGCTTTCCAAAGGGATTTATGACACCTCTGTTGAAGGAAATCCGTCTGCTCCCCCGAAAGCCCCAAACGAAGGATGAGGAAACAATTGTGCAAAGGGAAGTAAGTGCCCATGCCCTTCTCCAAGAAGCCTGTTGGTCTCACCAACCTGGGTGTCAGTGTGGCCTCTCAGTCCTTAGCGACGAGCTCTGCTTTCCAACCTGTAAAGACAGCTGTGCATGGGAAAAGGAACGAGGAACTCTTTCCTTCCGAGCGACCTTTGTGCCTCCATGGCAATGGAATGCCTTGACATCACAATCTGCCGGCCAGACCCATTATGCCTCACGTGTTCAGTCCTGTGATGTCACTGGCCTTTCTCTGTGTATTTGTTCAGTGGAGGCGGGGGGGGGGGGGGGGTTCTCAAATGTGATGAAGCCTTGAGACGTTTCCGCCGTTTCCTTCCCCTCTTTGTGCCCCCCCCCCTGTCTTAATCTTAAGTTGTTATTGTTTTTTTTTTGGGCTAGTCTTATCTTTGGCCCCCCTGGTCTTGCTTCTTCTGCTGGGCCGCTTCCCTGACTTTCTCCCTGCTTTCTCCCTCCCTCCCTCCCACTTGCTGCAGGATGGCCAAGGGGATCAGGTCAGCCTCTGGGTTAGGTTGGTGGAGCAGGAATGCCTGTGCCCTCCACCCTTCCTTCTCAGGGACAGTTAGGATGATCTCTGGCTCAAAGGTCACCTGGGCTCTGATCTTACACAGGATGTACCGGGCCAAGAGGGGAACGGGACATTCAGACATGTAGAGGAACTCATGGGACAGTGTCTTCCCCCTACCTCACACTCCATGGCCTTGAGAAAAGACCTTTCTGCCTCCTTCCCTGAGACCCCCACCACCTGAGTTTTCCTGCTTCCCAACTCACTGAGTGGGTGGTCCCACTGTCCAGGGGAAAACCTACAGTTTTCTCCCAATCTTAAGTGGCACCATGGGATCACTAGGGGCCAAGACAGCCTGTTTTCCTAGTCACAAGACCTTCCCTTGTGCCCCCCCCCCCCCCGCGTGGTTGCTTTCAGGACATTCCCTTCTGAAGTGCCCCTTGCCCTGGCAGTTGTAACAGCGAGGCTCCCTGTTGTCCTTCTGCCCTCCCTGACTCCTGTCCCTCCAGACCAGCCTGCCCTGGGGGTCCGTCCGGCAGTTCTCCTCAGCCACCCTGTCCCTCTCCGTCAGGGCAGCAATCATGCTGGTGGCCTCGATCTCCACCTGGGCTTTCCGGTCATCCTCCTCTTTCTGAGCAGCCACATCCTCTCTGTTGTGGAAGACCTTAAAAGGAATGTTGATTAACTGGGAAATGGGCATCCCTTCCCTAGACTCCATCTTTTGCAGTTTGAGTCTGATGTCCCTGGTGGACCTGGCAATGAACAGGGAGTTGATGGTCTTGAAATGCTCAGGGACAGGGGGATCCAGGTTGGTCCACTGCCTAGCTGCCTTGCAGATCCTATCATAGGGACTTTCTGTTGGCTCTTGGCGAATATCATAAAGCTTGGTGACATTCAGAGCCTTGGGGTAAACTAGGGGCAAACCAATCAAGATTCCCCAGTGGAAGCCTCCCAATGCCAGCCTTCCAACATCTGTGTTGTAGTTCTAATCAGGGGCCTCCTTGGTGGGGAAAACAAGCTCACTGTCTCTCCCTCATTCACATCTGCCTTCATGACTTCAAATTGGGCAGCTGCCAGAAGCCTGCGCTTCTCTTCTCAGGTCAGTAGAGTGGACAAAAGGCTCATCACATCCCCCCAAGTGGGGTGATGTGTGATGAAGATGGTCCTAAAGAGTTCCACCATGGGGGTTGGGTCTTGGGACAGAGGAGCAGTGTTCCTCTTCCAATTCAGGAGGTCTGCGGTGGTGAAAGGGACATGGATGTAGACAGGCCTCCCACCCACACCCACCACTTCCCGGAGAGGTGTCACCAACATCTCCAACGCTCCTCCATCTCAGCAACTCTAGCTTTGCTTGCTCTCTCTCCAGCCCTACACGCTCTCTCCTACAGTTTTTGGAATGGCCCCAATTCTTGCAATAGCTTATTGTTGCTTTAGAAATGACATAGAGTTACAAAGCTCTGACAGAGCAGGTCATTACAGAGACCACCTGCGAGCCCTTGGAAAGGAAGGCCAGGCTCATTGGAAGTTCACACGGGTGTCTCAGAAACACGAGGGCCCCTTCTACACTGTCATAGAAAACCCACATTATCTGCTTTGACCTGGAGTATATGGCAGTGTTGAAGGGGCCTTAGGCAAAAGAAAGGAAATGCAGAAATATTGGCTGGAGGGCACTTGGCTTGAAAACAGTCTCCATGAGAAAGGGATTTAGAAGTCATAGAATCACAGAATCCTAGAATCAAAGAGTTGGAAGAGACCTCCTGGGCCATCATCCAGTCCAGCCCCATTCTGCCAAGAAGCAGGAATATTGCATTCAAATCACCCCTGACAGATGGCCATCCAGCCTCTGCTTAAAAGCTTCCAAAGAAGGAGCCTCCACCACACCCTCCGGGGCAGAGAGTTCCACTGCTGAACGGCTCTCACAGTCAGGAAGTTCTTCCTCATGTTCAGATGGAATCTCCTCTTCTTGTAGTTTGAAGTCAGTGTAATCAGTGTAATCAGTAGTTTGAAGTCAGTGTAATCAGAGGTGCCCCCCCCCCCCCGGACTGCGTAAAAGATAGTTCATAATCAGGGAATTCATAGTTTTGCCAAGGACACCAGGCTGGGGTGATTCCATCATCCCCTATCTCTCCCCCATGCGGGAACCTAAGGATGTTTCCATGGCCCCACATGGCAACGCCCCTGTAACCCAAACCGGCATCTGACCAATTTGGCTATTATCGATGAATTGGATTCATTTTTTATGAATGAATCTCCTGTTTTATGAATGGCTCAGTGCTTCAATGAGCTTTGCATCATCTTACATAAACTCTGGGTGACCAAGATGAATCTTCCCTTGACCCTGCATGCCTCCCCCTTCCCATATGGACTCTGTATATGCCCATGCCCCCATCCATTATATGTCTGTATGGAAATATGAAGTAAGATAATGCTTTCATGAACTTTACTACCAACTCAAGGCTCAGGAATTTCCAAACTTCCTGAGCCAATAATCCTCTTAAGAAAGGTCTTGACAGAAACTCATTTGCATGGACAATAAGTGAATGGCCCCTCTTCCTGGACTATCCAGGACAATGGAATCTATGGCCATTCATAACCCATCATCATGACATTTTTTCATTGTTTCCCTGTTGCCCGCCTCCTTCCACCTCATTGGCTCAGCGGCCAAACGGGGCTCAGGCTCTCACTGGGTTTCCTATTTGGCTTGCTGACGTTACAGCCAATCACAACGAAGCCAGCTCGGGGGGGGGGGGTTGGACATGGGAACGTTTGAACCTGACAGCCCCATAAATAATAATATCCCAGTACGTTCGCTCCTCGGGCAGATCACTGCGGTCGTCCTCCGTTCCAGTTGGAATGAAATAAAACCTCGGTGGCTTTTGCTTCAACTTGGTGAGACTTTATTTGGAAAATTTGAGGGGACAATCTTCCTTGGTGCTTGCTGTCTTGCCAGGTGTTCCGGATCCTCTTTTTGGGTCTGGCAGCGCCTCCCAAAATCGTGTTCGAGATCATTTGGAGACCGCAAGCTGAACATGAGCCAGCAGCAGTGGGATGATGCAGCAGCAGCTGAAAAGCCAGTGCCATCCAACCCGGGGCATCGACAGAGGTCACCGTCTCACCATGTTGTGCTGCTTTGGCCAAACCTTTTCACCTGGAATGACAACCCTGGGGCCGTCAGAGCTGTTCAACAGGGGAACGTGCTGCTTCCTGCCAATCCAGAGGAGACTTGTCTCTGGAGTCTCTTAGGCCGGATGGCCATCTGGCGGGAGGCCTTGACCCGATATTCCCCTCTGCCCCCCCCCCCTTTATGGAAGAAGCGGGTTGGGCTGCATGGCCTTTGCGGGCCCCTTACAAGCCTGCTCCGGATCGAGGCCTCTAGAGCAGGCACGGGCAACTTCGGCCCTCCCTTCAGGGGTTTTGGACTCCAACACCCACGATTCCGAACAGTCTACCGGCTGCTAAGAATTGTGGGAGTAGAAGTCCAAAACACATGGAGGGAGGGAGGGAGGGAGGGAGGGTGGGAGGGCTAAAGTTCGCCTGTGACTGCTCGAAAGGGATGCTTTCCTTCATATATTAATCATAGTTGGAAGATGGGTGAAGAGGGCTCTGCCCGGACCCCCCCCCAGCCCCCCCCCGCTCTCCCCCTCTCTCTGTGTTGACGTCAAAGGCGGGGCTTCCCAGGGAGGGAGGGAGAGAGGACTCTGGGGCGGGCTCAGGGGGGCCCCCTCGGGTTCCGCGTCCGGCCGAAGCCTTCCTGGGTTTCCCTTCTGATGGAAGCCGCCCCCCCGTCGCTCGCGCCGCCTGAGGCTCTTCTGAGGAGCCCCCTTGCTGACTGCGAGGCCATCCCCCGGGAGGGCTTGGATCGTGCCCCGCTTCCCTCCTGGCCGGAGCAGGGTCCGGCTGGGTGCCCTCTGGCGTCCCTTGGGGCCTTTGGGGCCTCCCCTCTGCCCCGCCCCTTTCCTCCCCGCCTGCCCCTCCTGCTCCAATGGGAGCGCTGCGGACCCGCAGGCAGCCCTCCCGCGCCCTCCCATTGGCTGGGCCCAGGCCCCTAGCCAGGATTTCGTGGGGGGGGGGGCTGAATATTTTTCAGGGGGGAGTTTCAGGGGGGGGCTGAGTCTGAGTGAAAGAGGGTGTAGCCTAGCAAACCTTTTGTACCGTTACCCCAATAATCCCCCCTCCATCCATGCATATGGGATATATGGAGCATGGTGATCAGATCATGATAGGAATCAACAGAACAGTTTGAGTAATGCGCCAGGAAGGCCTTCTCGCGGACCACCCTGAGATTGGGGGGGGGGGGCTGAAGAGAGGAGCTCCCTTGGCCCCGCCCCCACTACGTCTCCAGCGGGAAGGTGGGAGGGAGGCATGACGTCACCGCAGTCCCCGCCCCTCCATTTCGGAAGGAAGGAAGGAAGGAAGGAAGTCAGCGAAGAGACGGTGAGGTGGGGAGGGGGGCGGGAAGGGTCCCAAGGGAAGCGCCCCACCGTCCCCCCTCCCCCCCCCCTCGGCATCGTCACAATACAAGAAAGAGTGGGAGGGGACCCCAGAGGACACCCAGCCCTGATTCTGCCAGGCAGGAAAAGCACCAGCAGAGCCCCCCGGGCAGATGGCCACCCAGTCTCTGCACAATAGTAATAGTAGTTGGAAGGGACCCCAAAGGCCACCCAGCCCAACCCCCCTCCCTTATTCTGCCAGGCAGAAAAAGCACCATTAAACCCCCCCCCCCCGCAGATGGCCACCCATCCTCAATAATATCAATAATAATAATAATAATAATAATTTATTATTATTGAAAGGCACTGCAGACTCCTTCAACTAGAGAAGTCAGCCATAGCAGAGCACCTGAGGAACCAACCTGGACACAGCAGATTATTTGAGAACACAGAAATGCTGGACCACTCTCACAACCACCATGTCAGGCTACACAGAGAAGCCATTGAAATCCACAAGAAGCATGTGGACAATTTCAACAGAAAGGAAGAAACCATGAAAATGAACAAAATCTGGCTACCAGTATTAAAAAACTCTAAAATTACAACAGCACAACAACAGAGAGTAAACAATCAGGCACATCAAATCACCTCTCAACAAAACATTCCCCCAGGCACTGCCAGGCCATTAAATGCTAATCAAGGTGCTCAGTTGAAACATTCCCACCTAGCTCCAGCAGACAAGCATCCTTTGTCCCGCCCTGGTCATTCCACAGAAATATAAACCCTTTTTCCTAGTTCCAACAGACCTCCCTACCTCTGAGGATGCTTGCCATAGATGCAGGCGAAACGTCAGAAGAAAATGCCTCTAGAACATGGCCATATAGCCCGGAAAAACCTACAACAACCCAGTAATAATAATCATAATTTGAAAAGGACCCCCAAGAGCCATCCATACAAGCTGTTCAGCTGTGGAACTCTCTGCCCTGACGTGTGGTGGAGGCTCCTTCTTTGGAACAGAGGCTGGATTAATGGCCCCTGCCTTGAAGCCGATCTGGCCTGCAGCAGGGAGTTCCGCCGTTCTCCATTGCGCGCTTGGGCCAACATCAGTGGGAATGTGGCCACGGCAGCAGCTTCAACCAAAGACTCCTTTTTTCCTGCCTTGCGTTCTTCCCCTCAACCTCACATTGTAACCAACCCCCAATAAAGTATCAATTAATGGTAACCCTTTCACTCTCCAGAGTGATTGATACACTGTGTCTGTTCACTGGCTCCGACTTTCTCAAGCATGAACCTTTCATTTTCCGAGCCACAGCCCGCTGCAAGCTCGCCCAGGAGGCTTTCCTGGCATCCCGGGAGGCCGAAACTGCGCTCCTTTGAACTGTGGATACCAAAACCCTTTGGGTCCCCATATCCACGAGTCAATGGATCGCTCCAAAATTCTTCTCCTGGGCAGATTCTAAGACTAATGGCCAACCTCTCCGCCCCTGGAATAACCCCTTTTGCCCCCCAAAACTTAACATGGAGCCCAGCTGGCTCCCCGCTGCTACAACATCGCTGCCGCCATCTCGTTGATGCCTGAAGAGCCTGTTGACCTGGGGAACCTGCTGCGTCCACTCCTTGGGACCTCCAGGAAGCCGACGGGTCATCCCGGTCCTTGATGAGATGGGATCTACAGTTTTCTCCATTTTCCAACGTGGAGCTCGACCTCCAGCACTGGCAGTCATCTCGTAAGGACTCAGTGGACTCCGGGGCACCTTCCCCAACTTGCCCCCATGGATTCTACAACTTTAAACAACTTTTGTCAACTCATAAGGACTTTGAAAAACTTTTTGGAACTTTTTCTTCTTTCCAGCCCCATGGACTCCCTTTCTACGATTATAGGCTTTTGTGGTTTCATAACTTTAAACTCTCTACGAACTCTGGTGGGTGGGGTGGGCCAATATGAATCTCCCTTTCCCTTTTCCCCATGTATACCTTATTTATTTATCGTGTCAGTATCGACCAGACAATTGTGTTACATTTTTAACAAATTTTAACAAAGAGACAAAACAGAATTTGCAAGCTTGGTAGTTGATTAAATGTCCTCTGACCAGTATCTGGCCACTGGGAGTGCCTCTGGTGTTGCCACAAGAAGGTCCTCCATTGTGCATCATGTGGCAGGGCTCAGGGTGCATTGCAGCAGGTGGTCTGTGGTTTGCTCTTCTCCGCACTCGCATGTTGTGGATTACACTTTGTGGCCCCATTTCTGAAGGTTGGCTCTGCATCTCGTGGTGCCAGAACACAGTCTGTTCAGCGCCTTCCAAGTCGCCCAGTCCTCTGTGTGCCCAGGGGGGAGTCTCTCATTTGGTATCAGCCATGGATTGAGATTCTGGGTTTGAGCCTGCCACTTTTGGACTCTCGCTTGCTGAGGTGTTCCAGCGAGTGTCTCTGTAGATCTTAGAAAACTATTTCTTGATTTAAGTCGTTGACATGCTGGCTGATACCCAAACAAGGGATGAGCTGGGGATGTCACTGCCTTGGTCCTTTCACTATTGGCTGCTACTTCCCGGCGGATGTCAGGTGGTGCAATGCCGGCTAAACAGTGTAATTTCTCCAGTGGTGTGGGGCGCAGAGCGTGGTGAGATGTGTTCCACACTGGGCATGCATACTCGGCAGAAGCAGAACCAGAAGCGACTTGCAGCATGTATACCTTATGAACTCCATGTATGTACCTGTGTATAAAAATAATAAGGGAAGCCACCTTTTCGTGACCCCAGCATGACAAACCCTTGTGAAATTCCTTCCTGTTTCCTGAGATGAATTCCCATTGACTTAAAGATTCCAACAAAGACTTATTGCATGATAATAACAAAGGTGCGTCTTGGGCCTCGCAGCATGTCTGCCCAGGAAGGCACCCCATGGTGAACCTGGTCATTCACAAGAGGCTACGCAGAGCCAATGGAATCATAGAATGATAGAGGTGGAAGAGACCACAGCCCAACCCCTCTGTTCCATTTAGGAAAAGCACAGTCAAAATATCGCTGACAAATGGTCATCCAGTCTCTGCTTAAAAGCTTCCAAGGAAGGAGCTTCTGCTGGACTCCAAGGCAGAGAGTTCCACTGTTGAATGGCTTGTACGATCAGGAAGTTCTTCCTAAGGTTCAGGTGGACTCTGCTTTCCTGTCACTTGAACCTATGGCTCTATTGAATCCTCGTTTCCATGGCAGCAGAAAGGAAGCCTCTCCCTCTTCCTTAGGACACCCTTCCACATATTTATACATGACTCTCATGCCTGCTCCTCATGAAGCCGCAATCAGTGATGCCAGTATTATGTATGTATGTATGTATGTATGTATGTATGTATGTATGTATGTATTTTTATCCCACTTGTCTCCCCTGGGTGGGATTCAAAGTGGCATACATGGCAAAAAAACCAAAAAACAGCAAAATAAACATAATATAAAAATTCAACAAAACATCATAAACCACATAAACAGATAGCACACACTGCACACCATAATTAGACAGATTAATAACCTACAGTGAATAGGAAACACAAAGAGACAGAATGGGGGGTGGGGGGGGGGAAGCCTGTAAAAGATCTTGGAGTCCTCACGGGAGGAAGGGAAACATGAGCCAGGAATGCCGCGTGGCGGCAAAAAAAGCCCATGGGAATTTGGCCTGCATAAACAGGAGCCTAGTGTCTAGATCCAGGGAAGTCATGTTCCCCATGCTCTATTCCGCTTTGGTTAGACCACACCTGGAATCCTGTGTCCAAAAGTAGATGTAACTACTTTTAGTGTCTGTGTATATTTATAGTTACTTTATGTTCTGTCATGGAATGCATGCTGTCTATATGCTGTGCTCTGCCCTGAGTCCCCTTCAGAGTGAGAAGGGCAGAATATAAATGTTTTAAATAAATTTTGGGCATCACATTTGAAGGGAAATGTTGACTCTAAGCTGGAATATGTCCAGAGAAAGGATCAAGGATTTGGAGAACAAGCCCTATGAGGAGTGGCTTAAAGAGCTGGGCATTTTTAGCCTGCAGAAGAGGAAACGTGATAGCCATGTATAAATATGTGAGAGGAAGTCATAGGGAAGAGGGAGCAGGCTTGTTTTCTGCTTCCCTGGAGACTAGGATGCGGAACAATGAATTCAAACTACAGAAAAGGAGATTCTATCTGAACATTAGGAAGAACTTCCTAACTGTGTAAGAGAGCTGTGGAACTCTCTGCCCTTGACTGTGGTGGAGGCTCCTTCATTGGCGGCTTTTAAATAGAGGCTAGATGGCCATCTGTCAGGGGTGCTTTGAATGCGATTTTCTGCTTCTTGGCAGACGGGGTTGGACTGGATGGCCCACCAGGTCTCTCCAACTCTAGAATTCTATGATATGAAATCAAGAAACATTGAGAACAGCATGTTTGGAATCTTGTGGAGATCAAGAAAAGTTGTTACATCACCGATTAAAGTATTCGTGACAGAGGTTTATGAGGTGTTTAATCTTTTGCTTCTTCTTTCTTAACCAGGGAAGTGAGGATTCTGTGGACCCACTTCTGGCATGAGGAGAAAGAGGAGAAAGAAAACAGCATCTACCGTATACTGAGGAATTTGGAAACAAAACGTGTAGTAAAGAAGGGAGTCTTATAAGAGGAGGAAGTCCTTCTTAGGTCTTCTGACATGGAGGAGAAACCCTATAAATGCCTTGAGTGCAGGAAGAGCTTCACTGCGAGTGGAAGTCTACGTTCACATCAAAGAACACACACTGGAGAGAAACCCTATAAATGTCTGGAGTGTGGAAAGAGCTTCAGTAAGCGTGGAAATCTATATCAACATCAAAGAACCCACACTAGGGAGAAACCCTATACATGTCTCGAGTGTGGAAAAAGCTTCAGTAAGATTAGAAGTCTACGTTCACATCAACGGACTCACACTGGGGAGAAGCCCTATCAATGCACGACATGTAGAAAGAGCTTCACTCAGAGTGGAAGTCTACGTTCACATCAGAGGACTCACACTGGGGAGAAACCCTATAAATGCGTGGTGTGTGAAAAGAGCTTTGCTCGCAATGGTGGCCTACGTTCACATCAAAAAACCCACACTGGGGAGAAAGCCTATACGTGCCTGGAATGTGGAAAGAGCTTCAGTGGGAGTGGCAATCTACAAAGTCATTATAGAATTCACACTGGGGAGAAACCATATAAATGCCTGGAGTGCGGAAAGAGCTTCACTCACAGTGGACATCTACATTTACATTATAGAACCCACACTGGGGAGAAACCCTTTTCATGCCTTGAGTGTGGAAAGAGCTTCAGTGACCGTGGAGGTCTACATAAACACCATAGAATCCACACTGGTGAAAAACTCTATACATGCCTGGAATGTGAAAAGAGCTTCGCTCACAGTGGAACTCTACATAGACATCATAGAACCCACACTGGAGAGAAACCCTATACATGCCTGGAGTGTGGAAAGAGGTTCACTCACAGTGGAAGTCTACGTAGACATCATAGAACCCACACCGGGGAGAAACCCTTTTCATGCCTGGAGTGTGGAAAGATCTTTGCTGACAGTGGAAATCTAGATAAACATCATAGAACCCACACCGGGAAGAAGCCCTATAAATGCCTGGAGTGTGGAAAGAGCTTCGCTTACAGTGGATATCTGTATCAACATCAAAGAATTCACACGAGGGATAATCCCTATAAATGCCTGGAGTGTGGAAAGAACTTCCCTGTGAGCGGAGGTCTACAGAGACATTGTAGAATTCACACTGGAGTGAAAGGTGGTATTTGACACCCAAGAGACTCTCTAAGGTGTAAAAAGGCAATTCTCATAAATACGTTGTTGGGCTATTTTATCATATTGTGGTCTTGCAGAATGGCCCTGATAGAACGAGATAGTCTCAAATTTGAGACTATAAAACCCATAATGCATGACAGTCAGGTGTGGTACTCCATTTTTGCAATTTGGCAATCACCCCTTAGCTGTTCTGTAGAATTTATTTTTTTATTTATCTTATCAGGAATGAACCAATGTATTTGAGAAAAAACAAAGTTTAAAAACTTGACAATCTATTAAATGTCCTTTGACCAGTAGCTGGCCACTTGGTGCCTCAGGTGTTGCTATAAGAAGGGCCTTCACTGTGCATGTGGCAGGGCTCAGGCTGCATTGTAATAGAATCATAGAGTTGGAAGACATCTCATGGGCCATCCACTCCAACCCCCTGCCAAGAAACAGGACAACCGTGTTCAAAGCACCCCCAACAAATGGCCATCCCTAACCCTAACTCTGATAGGTGGCCTGTTGTTTGGTCTTCTCCACACTCACATGTCATGGACTCCACTTTGTAGACCCATTTCTTAAGGTCAGCTCTGCATTTCGTGGTACCAGAGCGCAGTCTGCTCAGCGCCTCCCAAGTCGCCCAGTTTCTGTATGCCCAGGAGGGAATCTCTCATTTGGTATCAGCCATTGATTGACATTCTGGGTTTGAGCCTGCCACTTTTGGACTCTCGCTTGCTGGGGTGTTCCAGCAAGTGTCTCTGTAGATCTAAGAGAACTATTTCTTGATTTAAGGCGTTGGCATGCTGGCCAATATCCAAACAGGGGATGGGCTGGAGATGTCACTGCCTTGGTCCTTTCACTATTGGTTGCTACTTCCCGGTGGATGTCAGGTGGTGCAATACTGGCAAGACAGTATAATTTCTCCAACGGTGTAAGGTGCAGACAGCCTGTGATAATGCAGCATGTCTCATTAAGAGCCACATCCACTGTTTTAGCATGGTGAGATGTGTTCCACACTGGGCATGCGTACTCAGCAGCAGAGTAGCCAAGGGCAAGTGCAGATGCCTTCACTGTGTCTGGTTGTGATCCCCAGGTTGTGCCAGTCAGCTTTTGTATGATATTGTTTCTAGCACCCACTTTTTGCTTGTTATTCAGGCAGTGCTTTTTGTAAGTCAGAGCACAGTCCAGAGTGACTCCCAGGTATTTGGGTGTGTTGCAATGCTCCAATGGGATTCCTTCTCAGGTCTTCCTCAGAGCTTGAGGTGCTTGTCTGTTCTTAAGATGGAACACACACATCTGTGTTTTAGATAGATGAGGAATCAGCTGTTTCTCCCTGTAATAGGCAGTAACAGCACCTAACTCTATGCAACGAGAGGGGACGTTTGGGAGCGATCGTTTCAATTGCCCTAGACATCTCGCTATTATAGCGATCAACCAGAGTGTTGATAGGATTGTCAGGAGTCCTTCTGGATCCACAAGTCAGACCATGACAATGGAAGAATGTTTTGCTCTTCCACTCTGACTACCGTCCGCAATGAAAACTAGGTCAAGTGTGTGACTGGCCTGATGCATGTGGACAGATACTAATTACTTGAGTCAGCCCCATGGTTGTCATGGCAACCATGAAATCCTGAGCTGCACCTGTTAATATGGTCTCTGTGTGAATGTTGAAATCTCCCAGAACTACCAGTTGCTGGGAGCCTGAGGCCAGATTGGAGACCACTTCTGCTCGTTCAGGCAGGGAAACTGCTGAGTCGTGGGGTGGCCGGTACACCAGCAGAATCCCCAACCTGTCTTGGGTTCCCACCTTCAGGTAGACACACTCAAACCCGGAGGATTGAGGGTTTGCAGCTGACCAGAGCAATGGACTGCCGAAAGATCACTGCAACTGTTTGTTCCTTTTTCGTACCTACCATTGATATAAATTGAAAAAAAGATCTAAGAATACTACTTGAGAGAGGAATGTAAAGTGTTGTCATTGGAATGTACAATTTTGAGTACCTGACTTATAACTATTTATGTGAAAATGTTATAGGCTCCAGTTAATTCATCACAATAGTCTTGGATATAGTCGCCTGAGGAAGACTAAAAAAATTGAAACCGGTTGTGTGTTCTAAAGACTTTTCAGTTCAACTCCACAAATGTCTAATTTATGTTTAGTTTGATATTCATTTTGATGTACGGAGCATCAAAATTATAATTGTAAATTGTGTACTTGTTTATTTAATATAAGTTTATATTTCATAACTGTTTATTGATTATTGACTAATGCATACTGTTGTACTTGTGGTTATATATTCGTTTGGTGTATAGACAGGCCTATGAAAGCAACTCCGCTGCTTTTCAAAACCATCTTCTATATGCTGAGTCAGGTTCAACACTTGTGATGTGCAGCTTTTGCCCTTCCTTAAACCAGCTTGTGGTGGAATAATAATAATAATAATAATAATAATAATAATAATAATAATAATAAAGCTTTATTTATACCCACTCCATCTCCCCCAGGGGGACTCGGTGCGGCTTACATGAGCCCACGCCCATCAATACAATACAAGCAATATAACACAAAACACAATAAAACAAGCAAAATACATAAAATGCAAAGTCAAAATAATATACAACACAACAATATAAAATCAAGCATTAAAAACACAGGAAATTTCACTAGGCAGGGCCAGATGCAAGGATATATTTTTTTAAACACTGGGAGATAGGACAGTGTATAGTATAAGGAGGAGGCTCCGGGAATGAGGAAGGATTTCATTGCACAAACCATAAAATAAAGTGCGTCTAAGGACATTTTGTGCAAAGTGTGGTCAGGGAGAGTCTTACATTCAATTACTGAAGGCACATTGGAATAACCAGGTTTTCAAATTCTTCCTGAAGATTGCCAGTGTGGGAGCTTGCCTAATATCTCTGGGGAGTGAGTTCCAGAACCGGGGGGCCACCACAGAAAAGGCCCTCTCTCTCGTCCCCACAAGTCGCACTTGCGATGCGGGCGGGAGCGAAAGAAGGGCCTCTCCGGAAGATCGAAAGGATCGTGTGGGTTCGTAGACGGAAATATGGTCGCGTAGGTAGGAGGGTCCCAAACTGTTCAGGGCTTTGTAGGTGGTAGGTTGTGTGGAAGAGGCTCCTTCTTTGGAAACTTTTAAACAGAGGCTGGATGGCCATCTGTCAGGGGTGATTTGAATGCACTATTCCTGCTTCTTGGCAGGGGGTTGGACTGGATGGCCCATGAGGTCTATTCCAACTCTTTGATTCTATGATTCTAAGATCTGCACCTTGAATTGGGTCCGGTAGATAAATGGCAGCCAGTGGAGCTCCTTAAAGAGAAGGGTTGACCGCTCTCTGTAATTCACTCCAGTTAATAGTCTGGCTGCTGCCCGTTGGACCAGTTGGAGTTTCCAGGCCATCTTCAAGGGCAGCCCCACGTAGAGAGCATTGCAATAGTCCAATCTAGAGGTAACTAAGGCGTGGACCACCGTGGCCAAATCGACTTCACGAGGTACGGTCGCAGCTGGCACACGAGCTTCAATTATGCGAATGCCCTCTCAGCCACTGCCGACACCTGAGCTTCAAGCATCCGTGCCAAATCTAGGAGGACACCCAAGCTGTGGACCTGCGATTTCAGGGGGAGTGCAACCCTGTCAAGCACAGGTTGCTACCCTATACCTCGATCCGGCCTACAATTGACCAGAAGGACCTCTGTCTTGTCAGGATTGATCCTTAGCTTATTCGTCCTCATCCAGACCATCACAGTGATCAGGCACTCGTTCAGCACTCAAGGGGCTTCCTTGGAATTAGGTGGAAAAGAGTAGTAGAATTGGGCGTCATCTGCATAGAGATGGCACCCAACTCCAAAACTCCGGATGACCTCTCCCAGCAGTTTCATGTAGATATTAAAAAGCATGGGGGACAGAATGGAACCTTGCGGGACCCCGCAGGTCAAAGGCCAGGGGTCCGAGCAGGTGTTCCCCAGCTTCACCATCTGGGAACAACCCTCCAGGAAGGACCGGAGCCACGAGAGACCCATCCCGGAGAGCCGGTCAAGAAGGATACCATGGTCAATGGTATTGAAAGCCGCTGAGATGTCCAAGAGAACCAGCAGAGTCACACTCCCCCTGTCCAGCTCCCTACGGAGATCATCCACCAAGGTGACCAAAGCTGTCTTGGTGCCATGACCAGGCCTGAACCCAGACTGCGACTGGTCTAGAAAATCAGTGTCTTCAAGGAATCCCTGGAGCAGGGCCGTAGCCAGAAAAAAATTTCGGGGAGGGTTGACAATTTTGGGGGAGGGGTTGAAAATTTGTGGGGGGGGGTTGAAAATTTGGGTGGGGGGTTGAAAATTTCGCGGGGGGGGGGGTTGAAACCTGCCTCCTAGCTCACGCTGAAGCAAAGAGCACAGCAGGGGGCAGAGCAACCTTCCATAGCCTGCAGCTCCACCCCTGTCAACCACCTCCACCAAGTCTGGCCTCCTTAATGAGAGCATTCAACACACACACACACAACTTGGTTGCTTCACTACATCGGCTATTGCTGCAAGTAATGACAGTGTGAATAAATTGTCAATATTTGCTTGAGATAGTGCTTACAGTTCTGGAGGGACTCTTAATTTTTTGCATCTCATAGACTTAGCATGGGGATTTGGTTAACCAGTTAAAATTCATGAGTAAACCAGTTTTTAAAAAAAAATCTGAAACATTTCGGGGAGGGGGGTTGAACCCCTAAAACCACCCCCTCGCTACAAGGAATCCCTGGAGCTGAGAGACAACCTCCCGCTCCAGCTCCTTGCCCAAAAGGGGAAGGTTAGAGATAGGCCTGTAGTTATTCAAAACTGTAGGGTCAAGGGAGGTCTTCTTCAGGGTTGGTCTCACCACAGCCTGCTGCAGACCAGATGGAAATTTCCTTTAAGCCAATGATGCATTAATAATCGGCACAAACCGATCTAATAACCCACCCCTGGATGATTTAATTAGCCAAGATGGGCAAGGATCTAGGGCCGATGTGGTCTCCCTCACAGCTCCAAGGTCTCCCTCACAGCTCCCATCCACATCATCAGGACGAACAAGCCGGAAAGAATCCCACAAGATCAGACTGACAGATGCCTTGGTTACCTCTTCTGACATTGCATTTAAACTGGAGTCCAGCTCAAGGCGAATCTGAGCGACTTTATCTGCAAAATGGTGCGTGAACTCGCAGCACCAAGTTGCCGAGTCCTTGAGGAGCCCCGCTCCACCTCAGGAGGGTGGAGGGGCTCTCCGACAACCTGAAACAACTCCTTAGGTCTATTGGATGCAGCTGCTATGCGGGTGGTCGAGAAGGTCTTCCTGGCTGCCTGCAAAGCTGCGGAATAAGCCCTAGTGGAGGCTCTAGCCCGCTCTCAGTCAGAGGCACCCCGAGATTTCCTCCAGATGCCCTCTAGACCCCTTCTCGTGCGCTTCATCTCAGCCAAATCCTCAGTGAACCAAGGAGTTGGCCTGACTCTATACAATGAGAGAGGACGTTTGGGGGTGATCGTGTAAATTGCCCTAGCCATCTCGCTATTATAGCGGTCAACCAGGACATCAACAGGATCAGGCTCCATGACAGAAAGAACCCCAAGAGTCCTCAGAAGTCCATCCGGATCCATCAGTCTCCTGGGGCGGACCATCTTAGTGGGTCCCCCACCCCTGCGGAGGTTAGAGTTTGCCTACAACTGATCAGGTGATGGTGAGACCATGACAATGAAAGAATATTTTGCTCTTCCACCCTGACCACTCCACTGTCCACAGTAAAAACCAGGTCAACTAACAAAATGAAATTCAACAGGGACAAATGCAAGAGACTCCACTTTGGCAGGAAAAACAAAATGCAAAGATACAGAATGGGGGACAATGCCTGGCTCGAGAGCAGTACGTGTGGAAAAGATCTTGGAGTCCTCGTGGAGAGGAAGGAGAACATGAGCCAGGAATGTGATGTGGTGGCAAAAAAAGCCAATGGGATTTTGGCCTGCATCAATAGGAGCCTAGTGTCTAGATCTAGGGAAGTCATGCTCCCCATGCTCTATTCCGCTTTGGTTAGACCACACCTGGAATATTGTGTCCAATTCTGGGCACCACAATTCAAGAGAGATATTGACAAGCTGGAATGTGTCCAGAGGAGGGCGACTAAAATGATCAAGGGTCTGGAGAACAAGCCCTATGAGGAGCGGCTTAAGGAGCTGGGCATGTTTAGCCTGAAGAAGAGAAGGCTGAGAGGAGATATGATGAGAGCCATGTATAAATATGTGAGAGGAAGCCACAGGGAGGAGGGAGCAAGCTTGTTTTCTGCTTCCCTGGAGACTAGGACGCAATGGAACAATGGCTTCAAACTACAAGAAAGGAGATTCCATCTGAACATGAGGAAGAACTTCCTGACTGTGAGAGCCGTTCAGCAGTGGAACTCTCTGCCCCGGAGTGTGGTGGAGGCTCCTTCTTTGGAAGCTTTGAAACAGAGGCTGGATGGTCATCTGTCAGAGGTGATTTGAATGCAATATTCCTGCTTCTTGACAAAATGGGGTTGGACTGGATGATGGCCCAGGAGGTCTCTCCCAACTCTTTGATTCTAGGATTTTACCAGGTGAGATTAGGCAAGCCCCACCCTAGCAGCTTTTAAGAAAGAGCTAAAAACTTGGCTTTTCTGATGTGCCTTCGGAGAGTGACCATCTAACCCATTTTTGTGAGTTTCCACCTACAGTTTGTTTACACGATGCACTTTCCCCCGCCCCTAATGAAGCTCAAGCCCCACTGCTCCCCCCGTCTCGGGCTCCTCCTTTACAAACACCCCTTTTCTACTTCCTATTTCACCCAGGGTTTTAACGTTTTTAACATTTGATCTTGCACATTTGGCCTGCCCTCTGTGATTGATTTATGTTATTTTGCATTGTCTATTTTAGTTTGCGCATTATGTATTTGTTGTGCCTGTCATAAGTGATGGACTGGATGAGAATTAATACATTGAAGATAAATCCAGACAAAACAGAGGTACTCTTGATTGGTTGGTAGGCGGATCAAGGTGTGGGGCTACAGCTTGTGTTGGAGGGGGTCACACTCCCCTTGAAGACACAGGTTTGCAGTCTGGGGGTGATCCTGGACTCATCGCTGACCCTGGAACCCCTGATGTCGAGCACCCCCCCCAAAAAAAAGGGATAGTGACTTATAGTTCTGCAAAGGGCAAGGGCACCAGACTACACAACAAGGGTCAAGTCTTGGTCACATTGCCAAAGCACTGACAACAACAAGGACCCCACGAGGCTTTTGGGAAACGGCTGGATCTTGGGACTTCTGCCCTCCATGAGAGTTGTAGTTTCCCAGGGACCAGCTTCGATCCCAGCGTGGCAGCTCTGCCTAACGTTTTGGACTCACAAGGACATCTTTCCCGCTCATGGACTCACATTGCTTGAAAATAATTTCTTTATTAAATTTCTCTGGTGGGTGGGATGGAGAAGGGGTGATTGACCTATATACTTTCCTTCTATGTATTTCCTTCACAAGTCTAACCCAGCCATGAACTCTTTTGCCCTTTGGGAGGCTGATCAGGGAGCAGCCTGCGGGGCTGAAAAGGCAATCAGGAATCACAAAAACACCTATTTACTTGGAACTCACATCTGAACAATGGGACGTGGAGTTACTATTTGACTTTAGGAGGGGGTCATCAGAGTGTGATTTCCTCTGCCAAGTTTCCCTTCACAACACGTACCCTTCCCAGCCTCACCTTTTACCTTATCTGATCCTGGAAGGGGAAAACCTGAATCAAATGATTATCCCTAACCACTGACCCATCACAAGAACAAAAAATCGAGTTTCCTTGGCTGGCTGATTCCCCGGGCACAGGACAGTGGAATGTCATCACCCTCTCTGGACACATCGCCCCTCTTCTGTCCCGCCTCCCTCTCCCTGATTTGCTGAGGAGCCGAAGAGGGAGGGAGTTTTGAAATGTTTTCCTGTATTTTGCCTATAAATATGCCTGTGGCGGAATTATTCCCACAATTGCATCCGTCTCAGCTAAATCGCTCATTAAACCTCGATGCCCCTTCTTCGCTTTGGCAAGAGTCT